TTTTTTTTTCTTTCTTTCTTTCCTTTTTTTTTTTTGAAGATATCCACACAATCATTATTCATGAATGCAATAGTCGAGTTAAAAGTGAAATCGTTCTAAGAACGTTACAAAACAATCCGCACAATCTTTCTTTACGTGACTCGTTAATTTCTAAAGAAGAAAAGCGACGTCCACCAGGAGCGCAATTGCATCCGTCCTACAAACGAATCAATGGCCGTCTCGCTAAAGTCGTTTCCAACACAGGTATTCGACAATTTTCCACGGAAATTACGAGTTACGTTTCAACACACGCGGTCGAAGATCGAAAACGAGCACGCTTGCCCGAACGAAACGACAGGTTCAAAGCCGATTCGAAGATTCTCCGATTCTCGTTCGATTGATCTTCGAGTGATCATCGCGAGTCAGAATGTCGATGAAGTTATGGGATTAGCGAAGGGCTGCCGAAACGCCTCCCTTTCGCCCCATCACGCCCCCACTTGGGAATAAACAAGAGGCGATCGATGGACGCGAGAGAGGGTGGAATCGAGCATCTGCGGAGAAAAAAGCCGGTGTCCATAAATTCTTTTGTAATCGACGCCACTTCATCCGTTAGGAAAACGATGGAATTGATTACTCTCCACTCGTTCAAGATTCTCGAATTGATTCCATCACATGTGCCATCCATGAATTACAGCCCTTTGGATGTCAGAGATTTCATATATCCGTAGAAAAAGAATTGATCGTTTAAACTGTTATTTTATACAATCTTCCTCCCTATATCCCCTCCCGTGAACGAGGAAAAAAATTGTTAAACAATCATCTTAAAAGCCACCACGCGATCCAATTCATCGTTACACGCGCCTAAATACTCGAGTTTCCCCAAACTATATCGACTCGTGGCACACCTATCGACACGGTGCGCACCGGGGGTGCGGAGGCCCCCCCGCTACCCGAGCGGTTAAAAGAGCAAAAACGTCGTCGAGCTACCATTTTGTAGGAGAGTGGGCCGCCTCGTAGATCGAAGCACAATGTCCTCGTCTCGGATGGAAGCGAGAGAAACACAGAGCAACGTGGAAAGAGGGACCAGAGGCTGTGAGATCGAGGCGAGGTTAAGGGGAGGGTAGCGAGGGGGCTGGGTGTCGTCGAGAGCGAGAGGGAGAGGAGCGAGCGAGGTATCGAAGAGAGAACTCGCCTTCTTATTTCCATTCTTAGCACCGTTCTTTCGAATTCGACTCGGCAATACCAACGGCCACCATCTCGAAATCGTCCCACCTTCCCTTCACCACGTCCCCACCACGCATGGGCTGGCTCGGTTGGTACCCGTGGTCGTGGTGGCCGTGGAGGTGGCGGCAGTAGCTGCTCTCTACCTGGCTCCATGCTCTCTAACTCGCCCACCCTCTCATCCTTCTTTCTCTCTTTCTCCTTCCTCGAAACGCCTTTTCCGTCTCCGTTTCTTGCGAGGGTTTGACCCACCCCCAAAAAACGCGACGGTGTGTTAAGTGGATGTAAACCATGGATGAACTCCAATTATCATCGGGGACCAGAGATTATATTGCCGAGAAATTCGATGAGAAATACACGTCTGTTATTTTTAACGATAACGATAATATTTAAAGTGAAAGAAATTTCGATATATTCCCCCGTATACGATCAATCGTCCATCACAGATGATATTCTTAACGATAATATCGAGATCTACTTAAAACTTTGTACTCCAAACTTTTTCACCTAACGAAGAAAAAAGAAAAAAAGGAAAAAAGAAAAAAAGAAGAAAGAAACTTTACCCTCATACCCCACTAGTCAAAAATGTTTGCAGAAATAGACACCGGTGACCACCGGTCCCCAGAAGAAATTCGCGTGGCGGTTGCGAGTTCCAGGAAAGAAAGGCGAAACAAGGAGAACGCGGGAGGGTGAGCGACCGAGGCGAACGAGGACAGAAAATTTAAATCGCGGAAGAGGAGCGCGAGATGTCCGATGGAGGGGAGACCGATGAACGCAGGACGGTTCGTTATCGACGGCCTCGCGATTCCTGCCAATCGAAATGCTCAACGGTACCGCGAATATCCCATTGGCCCCGCCCCCGGCATCGTTGGATTGGCTCGGTCGCTCTTCTCCTATTTGAATCCCNNGTGGTGGGGGAAGGCTGGCGCGCGGAGTTCGTGGATCGGCAGCAGGCTTCGGGTCGTGCGTGCACACTCCCAAAACTATCGTCCGTGGAGGCACATTGAGTGCCGTGCACACCGTGTTGGTCCTCGTGCGTCGCTCTCGAGCGCGGCCAGTCGCTTGCGTGGCCCCCTCCC